GAATCTAAAATGCAGGTGGGGTTGACAAGCATTCTAATGCAACTGCCACTGTCCTCCATGTGTCACCATAATCTCTTCCTCAGAACAGCTGCCTCCTACCTTCTTTACCTCTGGACCTTTGTTTTCTCACGAACCTTATTTAAATGTCTTCTTCGTTCTTTTTGCATGAAATGGGAAACAATATTTTTTCATGTTAGCTCTGTTTGACACTCACAGTCCTGGTCATACTCTGTTAAACTGTGCATTTACCTTGTATTCCTTTCTGAACTGTGGCTTCCTCTAGACAGGGGAGGAGGCTTCTCCCTCACCCAGGTTCTACCTGAAACCTTCACAGTGCCTAGACAAAGAGCCGTGTAAGGTTGACTAGTAAGGGAATGATACTATAATTAGGGTAACTACACAACTTATCACCCAAACTGGGTACCTTTGAGAGTAATAAATGTTGCTAGTAGTATGTTGTGCCAAGGCAACAGGTGTAAACTGGGGACTGCACCAGACAAACTGGAAATATGATTACCTAAGTAACAATGGCCAGTGTTGATTGACTTTACTCTTTGTTGGTATTGTCCTGTGTGCTCTTCAACCTTCACACTACCCTATATGGGAGCAACTTTGTTATCTGCATTTTTCATGCCTGCTATAGTATCCTTATCTGTTAGGGGACTTACCCACAGTAGCACAACTAAGGGAGTGTCTGGAAGAGCTGGGGCCTAAACTCAAACTTCTGATCCCAGAGCTTGTATCTTAAGCCCTATCATCTACCAGTAGAAGAGCTCAGGTCTTTGATTAGGACAGGATGAGATTCTGTTCCCAGGTGAACTTTAAATAAAATTAGTTACCTCTCTGGCTTTGGTTTCTTTGCTCATAGAATAATAAATATAATAATAATAAATAATTCCCATTTCTGGGAACCAGGGGTGATTAAATGAGATAAGGTATAAACATTGGGCATGTGAACTTGTGAATACTTCTCAGGAGTAAGACATCTGCTCTAATACCTATGGCACACAGTAAAATGTGCTAAATTCTTAGTTCAGAATGTAGGGTGAGGTCACAGGAAGCCCCAGAACCTAATGGTTAAAACCGTAAAATTTTATACAAGATCTAGGTTCAAATCGAAGCTCTGGGATTTGAACAGACATTTTTCTAAAGAAGACGAGCAAATGGATAATGAGCAGATAAAATGATGTTCTCAGCATTATTAGTCCTCAGGGAAATGCAAATCAAAACCACAATGAGATATCACTGAACACCCACTAGAATCGCTGAAGTATAAAAGACAGACAATAAGAGATGTTGAAAACAACATCTGTCAGAGAAGCCGGAATCCCTTATACTTTGCTGGTGGGGCAGTGAAATGATGCAGTCACTGTAGAAAAATGGCTTGATCATGTCTCAAAAAAGTTAAACATAGAGTTATTGATGGCCCAAATGCCCATCAAATGATATTCCATAGTCACACAAAGGAATAGTATTCAAGAGAGAGAAAAGGGGAAAGAAATGGAATAGGGGAGAGATATAGATAGATAGATAGATAGATAGATAGATAGATAGTAGAAAGATAGATAGATAGATAGATAAAGACAGAGAAAAACAGAGACAGAGATAGGCAGACACACAGAGAACATGAATTACTGATACATGCTGAACTTGAAAATGCGCTGTTAAGTAAAAGAAACCAGACACAAAAGACCATATATTATCAGATCACATTGATATAAAACATCTAGAATAGGCAAATCTACAGAGACAGAAAGAGATCAATGACACTTAGCACTGGAGGAAATGGGAAGTAACAGCTATTGGGTTCAGGGGACCTTTTTTGGAATAATGAAAATATTCTAAAATTAATAGTGATGGCTGTATAATTCTGTGAATGTACTAACACCACTGAGTTGTATACTTTAAAATGGTGAATTTGATAGTATGAGAATTATATCTCAATAATGCTGTTGTTAAAAAATTTAACCTCTGCTGTTAACTTTGGGCATTGGTATTAACTTCTGTAAAAAAAAGCTTTCATTAAAGTGCTGAACTCAAAGACCAAGTGAATGATTAAAGGAAAGATCACATGATGTCAAACTCTTGGCATAGTAACTCATACAGTAAATACTCTAAACAGATAGAGACTGTGTTTATGATTTTCTTTAAACACATGTTCCTCCCTGAAGCATAGGGTCAATGTTTGCTTTTAGCCAAAATAGGCTAGGATTCGTGACACTTAGAATGTATGAAGACTGACCCTCTCCTCAAACTCTATGTGCCTGTGGTAGAATTACAGACTTATGGCTTTGATATCTGTTATTTATTTCTTAACTAATATAACTGAGACCTTGCTCAAGATGTGCTCATGAAAAATTACCCTTTTAATGAGAAACTGGATTATCTACTGCGTAAGTGCCCTTCATACAAATTAGCTTGGCACTAGGTCTTAATCTAAATTGGGCTCCCTACTTTCCTCTAAATGGCCTAATATTTTCTTATTAATCTCTGCCCTTGTTCACCTGCTTTGGCTCTACCTCCTCTTAGAATCTCCCTCCTCGGCAGAGTTTTGTGCCCTGACATGTTTCTTAAAGCCCTCTTTGTGTCTGACTCCTGTTCGTTTTTTGGACATGACTTCTTGCTGGAAGATGTTTGTTCCATTTTCTAGCTGTCTTTCCATCTCCGCAATAGATTTTTAATGGTGTCAGTATATTTATATTTAAAATCAACAGATTGTTTCATTTAAGTTTTGGTACAAGGAAAAGTTTTGACTTTAAGGGAAGTTGGATGAATGAGAACCAATTAAGTTAAAACACAGAATACACGCAAACCCCAAGCATGGGCTTTGGAATCAAACAAATCAGCATCAGGTCTTACTGAGTTTAGACAATTACATGACCTATCAGATCTTCAATTTCATTGTTTATCTTTAAAATCCCAGTAATGATGTTTACCATGAGAACTTTTTCTAAAGCTAAACAAGTTGGTGCATGCAGTGTGCGCTTTGTGATAAATGCTAACTGATATTGCTATTGCACCTAAAGTTTGGGGGAGTCCCAATAGTGAAAGGAGTGTTATTAGTGACTGAAATAATATTATATGTTTAAGAAATGATATTTGGGATAGAAGGAGATAACCTTCCCAAGAAATCTTAGATTAATCTGTAGATTACTAAACTTTACACTGTAAGGCAAGGAGAGAAGACCCAAGGCATCACAGGCCCCATTCCTTAGCCAGATGTCCATAGAAGGTATATCAGCTCTAGTCTCTGATATCTGTCTTACAGATTCTGAGATTTAATTTGTATGCTCATTATAGTTTCTAACTAATCATCCATGCACTCTATTTGCTTTGTGGAATATTATTCAAAGGTGTTGATATGCTTGAAATCTCAGTAGAGAAAAATGACAACTGGGAGTCATGGACCACAGGTCCATAGCTTGCCCTGCAGCCATTCCTCTTCTGAGCCTCCCACGTCCCCAGCACGGTATCTTCTACTGGAATGATCATAGTGTCCATGGGTACTATTTACAGAAAGTTTGTGCTGAGAATGAATGCTCGCTTTGCACTCTCTATCTAATACAAGCTCTGTCAGGTTTATCCTCATTCAGTATGTAAGGAACTAATACTCAATTGGTTTAGTTGACTTACAAAGGCAACCTCCTTACACACCTAGCATAATGTCTGTACATTTTTATTTGCAGTCACCAAAACTTGAGTTGCCAGCGGCACAGATTTTGTCTTCATCTGCTGCCAGTGATGATAGCATTTAGCACAGAGGAGATACTCAGTAAGGAATGAATGAATATGAATGAAAGTCAAATTTCATAAACAGCAAAGCACTGTAATGTGGTTAGGTATTGCTTTTATTTTTTCTATTTTAGCAATGACCTCAGATAATTCTCAACCCCGTATTATAGAAAGGCCTTAGTTTGCACATCATGTATATGGAGGGAAATAGGCTGAATTATCTCTTATGTCCTCAGGTGTATGTTTCTGACCACAGGGAAGCCATGATAGAGAAGTTTCAGTCATTGGTATTCTGGAAGATGAGTGTTAAAATGCTGGGCATCCTAGGTTTTATGATTCTCAAATGCATGCCCACATCCCTTAGCAGGCAAAGTATGAAGAGATTAGAACACTATGAATTACTGCATAGTCCTCTTATTTCTGAGTCTGTGAGCTTGGACAAGCTACGTGAATTCTGTGACTGTCTTCATCATCTGGAAAATAGATGAAGGGCTATTGTGAAGCACGAATATAAAGTTTATAAAACATCTCACATGAAGCACTTGCTCAATTCACAGTAACTTTACACTCCTTACTTAATGTGGGTATGTTTGATCTCCTGATTGATGTGCCTTAGCAAAATATTGTGTTGATAATTTTGAGAGAGTCTGTTGCAAGGTCTGAACACTCAATACCAAGTAGCATGGAAGCCTATTTCCCTACACAGATGAGTTAACAGAAGAGATGTCATAAAATCATGTTTGACATTTATCCTGGATCATTACTTCGTGCAAAGCAATTACTCTGGAGTCTTGCTATCAAACAATTCATGGAATTGGGTACAAGAAGGGTCTTGGAGCCTGTCCAAAGTATTATTAAAAGTTGGAAATACTGGAGATGCAGTGCTGATGTTATTATGACAGGACTATTGGATATGGACTCTTAGTAGGTGATTATCATTGGTTGAATACCTCCTGTGTATCAAATGATAAATTATATGCTTTACACATATTGTCTGATTTATTTATCTTAGTACTCTATTGGGATGACGTTTTAAAAAGTTTTTCCGATCCAAGAAAGCTGAAGCTCAGAGAGGAGAAATAATTTGCCTCAAGACTTAAATGGATGGAACCAGTGGTGCTTCTTGGAATATTTTTCCTCCTGTGTTTATCAATTTGACTTTCCTGGAATGTAGGGGGAGCCAGAGAGCGCATCTTGGAGTGGCGAATTCTTAAAGCCAATAGAACCTCAACAACTTTGTTCCTGAATCTCCTTTTCTCTGTTTTCAGGTCAGGATCGCAGTGAAGCTACTTTGATAAAGAGGTTTAAAGGTGAAGGGGTCCGGTACAAAGCCAAACTGATTGGGATTGATGAAGTTTCCGCAGCTCGGGGAGACAAGTTATGTCAAGATTCCATGATGAAACTCAAGGTGATGTACAAACATTTGATTGTAAATCTCTCCAGGTTAATAGGAATAAGGGAAAGAGATGATTACTGTCATTATGGCAAGTAACTTTATTCACTTATTGGTAAATTACGTGGCATGTGGATGAATCAACGTATTTATTCATTGGGAGAGATTTCAATCACTTAGCAAGTGTTCATTGGGCGATCGCTATGCCTCCATTAGAGGCACTGTGGTAGGCCTTGTTTTATACTTTTGTGTTTATATTTTCTTCAATTTTATCTTCATTGTAAAAACCCTTGTAAAACAAACGTGCAAAATTATCATTTTTTAGTGCCTGGCATTTTATGAAATTTTGCTACTTTGCTATTTTTTAATAAACTTTATATATTTTGTCATATAGTAGCAGAAGTCAAGGTGAAAACTAATTTTATTCTTCCCTGTAACTTCTATTAATACATTCCAAACACTTCATAACAAAGGAAAAATAATGTCTTTTAAGTAATATGTAGGTAAATACTGGAATTTGGAGATCTCACAAATAATTTTCTGATTTTAAATGCTATAAAAAAGCTTTTTCATTGAAAAACCTGAAAATAAAGTTGGAAAAATTTTTAATTGCAAAATAAGCAAATTATGTTCTTAAACATATACAAAAGAGAAAAGTTTGGACCCCAATTTTAATGTCAATACATTCTGTTTATGTTTTATGCACTTAAAATGTATCTAATTTATTTTTCTGGTTATTGGGTTCATATATATGTTCATTATAAAATATTTTGAAGATATATAAAAGTATAAGGAAGAAAATTTTTAAATCCCAAATCCCATAAAGAAAATGTCAACATTTTTGTGCCTAACTTATAATCTTTCTTTGTGATTTTGTATATATAATATATGAATTATACACATATATAATAAAATGTTAGTTTCATATCTTGGGTTTCTTTGTTTCTCATCTGATAATATATATGAGCATTTTCTTAAATTTTCAAGTAGTCCATGAGGATACAACATGGTCAGTGAAGTATTTTTAAGTATAAGAAAAAAAGGAACAAAAGAGTAAAACAGCAAGCCTGGTAAACTGCCTAAGAGCATTAAATGAGATACAATCTGTACAACACCCTCTATTTCACCTTTTTTTTTCATAGATGTTTAGGAAATCACAGCTATTATTTTTACTGATTCTCTACACATTTTCTTAGCAGTTTACCATGTACATGAAATGCTAAATGTCCCTATAGTATGGCTTTAAGAATCAAGATTTTAAAAACTCTTAATTTTCTACGCTGTATATTCATTACCTTGGTTTTTTTAATTCTGTTTTGTTTTATTTGGTCACACAAGGGATTGAACCCAGGGCCTACACTGTGCCAGAAAAATTCTACCATTTGAAGAACTTCCCTTCTCAGCCTTTTATTTTGCATTTTGTTTTTGAAATAGAATCTAACTTCTTTGCCTGGGCTGACCTCAAACCAACTTCTGATTCCTTTTTTTTTACATCACCTTAACTTTTAATCTCAATTTATTACAATAATATTTTTGATCAGAAGGTAACATCTACATATATTATAAATGTAAATGGAAGAAATAGTTTCTAGTTTTTTTTTTCCTTTTTCTTTTATTATTCATATGTGCATACAAGGCTTGGTTCATTTCTCCCCCCTACCCCCACCCCCTCCCTTACCACCCACTCCGCCCCCTCCCTCTCACCCCCACCCTCTCAATACCCAGCAGAAACTATTTTGCCCTTATTTCTAATTTTGTTGTAGAGAGAGTATAAGCAATAACAGGAAGGCACAAGGGTTTTTGCTGGTTGAGATAAGGATAGCTATACAGGGCATTGACTCACATTGATTTCCTGTGCGTGGGTGTTACCTTCTAGGTTAAATTCTTTTTGATCTAACCTTTTCTCTAGTACCTGTTCCCCTTTTCCTATTGACCTCAGTTGCTTTTAAGGTATCTGCTTTAGTTTCTCTGCGTTAAGGGCAACAAATGCTAGCGAATTTTTTAGGTGTCTTACCTATCCTCACCCCTCCCTTGTGTGCTCTCGCTTTTATCATGTGCTCATAGTCTAATCCCATTGTTGTGTTTGCCCTTGATCTAATGTCCACATATGAGGGAGAACATACGATTTTTGGTCTTTTGGGCCAGGCTAACCTCACTCAGAATGATGTTCTCCAATTCCATCCATTTGCCAGCGAATGATAACATTTCGTTCTTCTTCATGGCTGCATAAAATTCCATTGTGTATAGATACCACATTTTCTTAATCCATTCATCGGTGGTGGGGCATCTTGGCTGTTTCCATAACTTGGCTATTGTGAATAGTGCCGCAATAAACATGGATGGGCAGGTGCCTCTGGAGTAACCTGTGTCACAATCTTTTGGGTATATCCCCAAGCCAACTTCTGATTCATATACCTTAGCCTCCCCGGTAGCTGAAATTATGAGTGTGCCACCATGTCAGGCTTGTTTTTGTTTTGTAGCTGTTATATAACCATACTTTTAAAAATAATTTCATTTATAATATAAGGTATACTAGATAAAGTTATAAAGGTCACGAAAATCATGATTTCACAGATTATCAGTTTGGAAGAGATTAATGCATTTTTATAATTAAGTGATGTTATGAGACTTTAGGGCATTTCAATAATGAGCTGTCTTTCTTCTCAAACCTGAATGATAAATTGATGAAGCAGTTGGACAGGAAGAATTCTACATCCCAGCTTTGGGATGAATAAATGCTGGCCTGGAGGAGGTGACTTAGATACAGAGGCCGTCCTTAAATGAGAAAGGCTCTGCTGCTTGGTTTATAGGAGACTCAGATGATAACTCTGATAACAGCCCTCTCTGTTCTCTCAGCCTGTGCCCAGCTCCAAGGTAGAACCACAACCAGTACCTGAGATCAGATCAGAATGTGACCTGTCTACTCGCAGGTAGATTGCACAGAGAGAGCGTGGAAGAGATGGATCTTCATATGTTCTACTTCTTCAGACTCCCCAATCAGATAAAGCTGCCATCTAACAGGACTGTGGTTATAGATAGGGATAAAAGTCTGGTTCTTGATTCTTGCTGAAGTCTTAATTGAATTTATTAAAGTCCAGCAAATAAACGAAAACTTTCCTGATGAAAGCTTTATTAAAAGACATGAAGAAAATTCCACTTACGTAGTCCTCCATGTGCACAGACCTGGTTCCTTCCCTGAGCCACCAGTCTGCTGAGGAGGAGAGAGGAGCTCATGTCATACATGCTACTTCCCCTAGCATCCAGGAGACAGCCACTTGTTGTAGAGTGCTATTGGCTAGCTGCCTTCAGGAAGCACAGAAGTCCTAGTGGATGTGACCAGGAAATCACTCTGTTGTCTGAAAGTTCTACCTCAGGTTTAACATTAGGCCAAGTTAGCAGGACCAGGCATGGGAAAGACTGCCAACTGTGAGTGTGTTACCCGTAGTAAAATGTTCCATCTGTCTCCCTTCATAACCATGAGGTCCCCAATTTCCCGAGAGTTTGTCCTGCCATAACATTCTCTTGTCAGATGCACTGAACTTGTTGAGGGGTTCTTGGTTCCTAGACAATTGTATTTCATTATTTGCAAGTTGCTGAGAAGAATGTTGACATTTCAGCTCCCAGTGGATTTTTTTTTTTTTTTTTTTAGGAAACAGAAACATAAATGATCGATTCTCCACTTGGCCAGTAAAAGACAGAATTACAAAATGCCTCTTAGCCTTGAAAAAGGGCCTACTTGCTCATATTAGGCCATATGAGAAATGAAATTAAAAATGGTTTCCCTTTACTAGACTCTCTGAAGCTGGTGCATTTCCTTTAGAGAATTTTCTCTTGGATTGCAGAGGTCTTACTAGGAATTTGTAAGTATGAGTGGCCCATTGCCTGTCTACCAGCCAAAGCATCATCATATTTTGATTTACACTCAACAGCAAGATAATTTCTCCTTTGACCTTATGAAACAGATTTTAGCTTCCCCATTTTGCAACTACGAAATCTGAGGTTCTGAGTAGTTAAAAGTATCTGTCCCACAATCTTCTTTTAATGTGGTCAGTTCAGAATTCAAACCTAGATCTCTAGAGATAAGACACAGTTTAACACTTAATTGTATTCTGTTTTATATTTGCATTTAATTTATCTTGATTCCCCAGTTTGCTTTTAATCATCTATCAGTCAGCTACTCTCCAACAGCCATACATCATCAACTTCTTAAGTGGTCATCTTTCAGAAAGTCCTTGGATAAAGGCGGTAGTTGAAACTGTGGAAGAGATGAGCTCTCTCAGAAGTCTGAGAGCTAAGTATAGGGCCCTAAATCTGTTAGTCAGGCCATGAACAATACAAAATCCCCCTGAAGAAAACAGATGAGGACATGTTCATGGACGAGGTATTTGAAAAGGTAGGCAAGGTTAGGATAGAAACAAGAAGTAGGAAAGCACGCATATTATAGTAGGAGTGGGGCACTGCTGCCTCTCCTAGGGAAAAAAGTATTTACTGGAATCCAGGGAGAGCAAAATAGATAAAGAAGTCCCCTTCCCTCATTAGGCAAAAAAAAAAGAAAGAAAGAAAAGAAAAGGCCTACCACTAGAGATATAGATCAAGGACAAGAAGGAAGTGAAAAAAAAGTACCCTTACATCTTCTTCCTTCTACCTGCTGATCTCTTGTGTGTGTGTTTCGGGAAGAAACTTAACTAGAAGCCAGGAGAAAGGACACCAAGGACAACAGGGCATACAGTCTTCAAGGGTCTATCTCAGGACACAAAACAAAACAGAGCAGAGAAAGATATTTCCATTCAGATTTTTGTTTTTGTTTGTTTGGGAAGGGGCAGTTGTTGTGTTTTATTTTTTGGTGCTCTACCACTAGAGCCATGCCCTTAACCCTGCATTCCATTTTTTAACCAGGAAAAATGAAATTTAGGATGAAGTTTTTTCTCCTTAAGTGCACAAAGCTAGTAGCTAGCAAGATGAGAACAGTGAGCAGATATATTACATGGAGCATTCTGTTATAGCAGTCTTAGGTTTTTAGTACTCAGGCCTATAGCCTTAGTGTGTTTACATAGGTGCTTTGCATGTTCCCTGGAGATTACAGTCATAGCATCGTGTGTGTGCACCATGCTGTGTGAGTATTCTCAAAGCCCTTTCTTGTCCATCATCTTAACAGATTCTCACAGCCACCCCCGAGTTAGACAGGACAACCTGTTCCTCCTGCCAGGCTAGTCTGATCCCTTCTCTAGGTGTAAATTTCTTCATCCCAACTCCGCCTATCTGTGACTACCTTAGTAATGCCTATGTCAATCATTTCACACTGTGCCTAGCGTGTGTTGTTACTCAATAATGTCAGCATTAATCCTAGTAATAATGGTCCTTGTTATGTACTGAGTGCTCCCTGCACTCAGTATGAGGGTGATATGTATATAATCCATTTAAATGTCCCAACACTCTTATGAAGTAAGAAACAGAATTATTCTCATTTTAGAGTTCCTCTTTACTCTGAGTTTAGAAGCTGGTGGTTCCACCTGTCTGTGTCCAGGAGCATTTGGCCATATTTGTTGCACAGCATGCATCATTGCATGGTCATTTTTTTTTGTCCGTTTCCCAGAAAAGGCTCTTTGAGAAGAGAAAGTCTGTGTGCAAGACATCCTACCATTATAATCAGAGTCAGAAAGACCACTGTCTGGATTCCAGTTCTATGACTTACTAGCTTCTTTGGGTTTGGGGAGGTTGCTTAGCCCATGACCTTATGCTAATTTCACAGATGAGGATCTGTTAAATGACAGAGAAGATTCTTATCTCCCAGGACTGTGGTATGGAGTAAATTATATGACATGTAAGAAAACAGCTAGTGTAAAGTATACAATCATTAAGATGGTTGAACCCCTCCCCCCATTTCCAGGTTTCCAGGTGGCTAATATTAGGCAAGAGCCCCAACCCACCCCTACATGCACGTTGTTGAGCTCTCCAAACAGAGCAGTCTTCTGGCCCTCCCCCGTTAGTTTTGCATACTCCAGTGAGTAATGTTTTGGGGACAAGACCCCCAAGACCTGCTGTGGTGGCAGGCCTGCCTGGACATAGTACAGTTTTTACAGCTTGGCGCAGAGTCCTATCTCACATGAGAAATGTACTTAATAAAATTGGACTTTTTATTTCCCCAAAGATAGCATCATGTGAATAGTCCTTTTCGACTTCATTCATCATGCAAAGCCAACACCAGCAGCCCTAAGTACAAATGCTCTAGGAACATGTCTGCTGGTTCTTTCCATTCTTTTTGATATACAACCATATTCTACCATGGGATTCTTTGATAGCCACTTGGAACCAGTAAGCAAAGAAGGCCTTAGAATCTATTCAGCATTACCATGTCCCAGTAGGTACTGCTATTTGATATTCCATAAATTCTGTGAGCCCGGAACTGTGGGGAATACTTAAGAAATGGAGAAGTAAGCTATTGTTTCCCGCTAAAGGTACAGCCCTTTCCTCTGTCCTGTGATGTCCTTCTAAAAGGAACAAAGAAGTGAGGGTGTCCCTCCCCTCTGACTTAGCCCTTCTAATCTTTTCTTTTGTGAGGAGCTCTCTTAGTCCATTTGTGCTTCTACAACACAATACCTGAGAGTGGGTATTTGTAGATACCAGAAATGTATTTCCTCACAATTCTGAAAGCTGGGAAGTCCAAGATCAAGCTGCTACCATGTTCAGTGTCTGATGATGGTCCAGTTTCTCTGCTTTCAAGGTGGCACCTTATTACTGAGTTCTCTGAAGGAGATGAACAGTGTCCTCAACATGACAAGACAATGAAGGGCACAAAAGGGAACAAACATAGTCTTTCAGACCCTATGATGGCTTTTCCCTTGTGGCTTAATCACCTCCTAAATGCTCCCGCTACAAATACTATCACATTAAGGATTAAGTTTTAGCATATGGTTTTGGGGAGAACACAGTTTAGACCATAGGAAAAGGGTACTTACTCTTTTGTCAGGACACTCGAGATTGAAGGTTGGGGTATAGAGATGTGACCGCATATGGTATTTTACTCAAATACGGCCAAGTACACAGATTTCAAAGTCATCTTTCCTAGGCTCACCATCTGGCTTGTCCTCTCAGTCAGTACCCAGATGAGGGAAGGTTGTCTCACTTCTTTCTGAGTGCCTAACTTATGACAGGCTCTGTTTTCAGCACTGGGCACATAGAACAAAATAAACAAAAAAAATAAAAACAAAGTTCCAGCATAATTGAGCTTACATTGCATTGACTAAAGGCAGGCAATCACCAAATGAGTATGTGATACATACATTAGATGTTGGTAAGTACCATGAAGAAACGTGAAACAGGGAAATGAATGAGATACAGTTTTGCATGAAGGGAATATTGGCTAAGATACCTATGGTAGCATTGAACACAAATAAAAATCACCTCTGGGATTCTAAAGAGGTATGTTGATGATTCTCCCATGTTGCCTTAATGTATCCAAAGTGACTTCAGAAGAAAACAGCACAGTGAGGAATCTAGAAACCATTGTCTAGAAGGGGTGGGTGGGGTGCATAGAAAAAGGATTTCACTTTGGGTGGAAGTCTCTATCCAATCACTTAGAGGGCAGTCTTTGGAGAAGGGGTCTTATGTCAATAGGTGCCAGTTATGGAGCAATAGTTGTAGGGGAGAGATTTCTACTCTTTAGAAAGAAGACTCAATGTGCAGAATAATAATTGCTGAAGTACCAAGAGTTTGGAGGGCTGAGTTGTGATCTCAGCTTTTTTCACCAGTTCTCTGCACTAGGTCAGGAGTGTTCACCACCATTTGGAACGTTATTTTTCTCATCCTAAATTGGGAAGTTTGAATCAATTCATTTTAAGGTTTTTCTCTGCCTATAACAATCTATGTGTCTGTGAATGAAAAGTACTTGAAAAGGAATGGGCAAGTTATGAGGGAATGAATTTTTAACTAGTATGTATACAAACATGAGCTGGACTACAAACTTTAGTTGATATTCATTTATTACTAGAAAAAGTTAATTTCTTTTTTATCTCTTCACTGTACCAGGCAAAAGCAGTATTTACACTTGGGAAAGTGGCACTAAGATTAATTCATTCTTCCAAAATGACACAGAACCAGGAGTATAATCAGATATTGTAATTCCACAGAATATTTCCAACACTTAAAGTAAGGATGCTCAAACATTTTCACAAGGATGTGCCTTCCTCATGCCTCTAGTTACACTTACGGCTCTTTAGCACCAGTCATTTCCCAAAACAGATGCTGGGAATCTACTGCTCTGAGAACAGCACAAACTCCTATTACCTCCTGGAAATGCAAAGTCAATATTATTTTAGACTTTCCTACTCCTAAAAGCCCATTACCACAACAGCTGAGAGGTGGGTTTAATTTTGCCATTTGTTGGGATGAACAGTGTTAAGGGGCTGGGAGGCTTAAGACACCTGAAGCAGAGTGAGTAGCAGCCCTTGAGTAGAGATCCTGGAAATGCTTGAACCAGCTGAGTGTGCCCTACATAGTGTGACTACTGTGTTCACCTGTGACTGACGCCACAGAGTCTAATTTAAACAAGTGTCTCTACTCCTAATTTGAATTGTATCAGTTTTAGGAACAGGGCCTCTGGATAGTACACTTATTTAGCAATTATTTGCTGAGCACCTGCTGCCGTCCAGGGACTGTCCCAACAAATACTGGGGGAAGAACTTTAAGCAAAGTAACATCCTTTCCTTTTGTGAAATTTACCTTCTCACTGGCTCATATGCATGTCTTTGGTTTTTAAAACGTTTGAGAAGGAGGGGAAATAGAAGTTTGATAACTGGAACTCATTTGTAGGTGCTTTTCTTGAAAGTACAGGACAGACATAAAATACAGAATGTCTTTGGATAAAAATTATAAGCAATAGGCATAAAACTATAAAGATCATATTTTTCAAAGCAAAATTGAAATATACCATCTAGAATCACTTTTTTCTTTTTCCTTTCTCTTCTTTCTGATCTTCAGAATTGATTCATACAAAAATGCTTTCCAAAAATATAAAAATATAATTTTATTTAGGAATATTATTTAGTGACTCAACTTTATTTCAAAGGTTAAATCCATATCTAATATAAAACCAAGCAAAGATACTGATATGAGGGCCATATTGTTTCTATCATAAAATCCCTAACTCTGAGCCAAGTATCTAGGCATTCCATAAATACTTGTTAGTCAGATGAGTGAATGCTCAAATATGTATTTATATAATGCTGTAACAGCCAGGACAACTATTACCCTGAAACATCAAGCAGATGTGAGCACGTGATGTAGAGACATGTAGAAGGGTGAAGGAAAAGGAGTATGAGTGATTGGTGGCATTGGTTGATGGTGTCTGACATGCCTTTGGGGCCAGAGGGAATTTTCAAATGAAAACACTAGAGTAAAAACCATTCCTTTCCTTTTAACAGGGTGTTGTTGCTGGCGCTCGTTCGAAAGGAGAACACAAACAGAAAATCTTTTTAACCATCTCCTTTGGAGGAATCAAAATCTTTGATGAGAAGACAGGGGTAAGTAAAAGAATCACATGGCGATGTAAAATTGAATCCATTGACAGATGTGTCCTTAAAAGCCTCTTCTCTCTGGGCAGGAATATCAAACAAGCATAAAAACACATAAAGCAACTGACAAATTTGATCAACTGTGATCGTCCATCAAAGCAAGTCTCTTTGCTGACTTGACCACAGTATGACTGCACCGTGTTTCTTACAGTGTAATTGTGATAAAAGTGTCACACCATCCTGGTAATCTAATGGGAGATTGATGATCTTTGAAGAGCAGTGGTAATGTGATAGTTGAAGTTGAATTTCTTTCTGTGTTGCCAACTTGAATGACATACACCCTAGAGGGAGACACATGTAGGTCTGTAGACTTGGTCAAAGCATCCGTACACTCTTGAGTTTAACATGTAGCACATTACAATTGATGTAATCAAAAAGAATAAATAGAGGTCTCAATCTTAAAAAACATCTATCAGTGTACATCTAGGAAATGTAGGGCTGTCATGTTTGTCGAATCTACCAAAGAAATAGTTTGTGTTTTCATCAGCCTTACAGCTACAATTAACTCTGACTCATCCACAGAGCTCTCCTGACACTGTAGGTTTTTTTCATTGATGGTAAGGAAAATAGAAAAGTGTTCTATGATCCATGGTGCTGAAAGAGTGAGACTCCAATGAGTGTGTTTTCCCTTTTATTCATTCAAGGTTTCACAGCTTATAAAACACCTCCACATATGTCACCTCCTTTGAACTTTCCAAAGATAATTTATCAAACACTTTATAAATAATACTCAAACAGCCAAGTTAACTGACCTTGGTCATTTTGCACTTTTATTTTCTCTTCTTTGTTCTGACTAGTAACATAAGGGTGATAGGACGATAATTTAAAAGTACAAATGTATTAACTTGTAGAAAAAAGTTGTAGAAAAATTACTTCTAAGTAACTAGCAATGGAACAGATATTGGTCGTAACATTATTCCCAACAGCAAAAAAAGTAGAAGCAACATGAGTGTCCTGTGATAGATGAATAGATAAACAAAATATAGAATGGAATGCTATGGAGCCTTAAAATACAAGGAAATTCTAGCAAGTGCTACAACCTGGGTGAACCTTGAAGACAGTATGCTGAGTGAAATAAGTCAAGTGCAAAAAGATAAATACTGTATGATCTCACTTGAATGAGATACCTAGAGTAGCCAAAATCATGGAGATAGAAAGTACAATGATGACAGCCATGGGTGAGGGAAAAGGAAGAGTGGGATGCTATTGTTTGATGGGAATGGGATTTTAGCTTGGGAAGACGAAAATGTTCTAGAGGTGGATGGTGGTGATGCTTGCAAAAACTGTGAATATACTTAATGCTACTGAACTATACACTCAAAATAGTTAATATGGTAGATTTTATATTATTTATATTTTACTGCAATAAAGAAGTATAACTAGTAATAATGATACTCACTTGTTAAGTATCTCCTATATATTAGGTATATCAGTCATTTAAATGCATTATTCAGTCTCATCTTCACAGCAATCCTATGAGACAATAACAATAATAGCTGCTGTATTCATTCATTCATTTTCTGTTACTGTAGTAAAACACCATGGCAGATTGACTTTAAAAAGAATAGAGATTTATTTAGTTCACAGTTCTGGACGCTCAAAGGGATTACTGACCCTAGCATCAGCTAGGCTGTTGTGGGAACGTCTTGGCAGATGGCAACCCAGCAGTCTGAGCACATGTAGGGAAAAGAGATCACATCTAAAAACAAGAAGTCCACGGGAGAAGGGGCTTCCCCAAACCCTTCCAAGGGTACTTTCACAATTGACCTAAGGACCTCCCACTGTGCCCCACATCTTAATGATCCTATCCCACTTCCATCATTGCCATGCTAATTTGTTTCTGCCACCATTTGTTTTCTGCAAGTTATACAAACTTCTCTATCCTTGATGTTCTCCACTATAAATCAGAGATAATGCTACCGTCTATCTCTTGGGTAAGAATTAAACATCCTGGTACTTAGCACAAAGTGTGGCACATAATATCTGCCTGATGGAGTAACTGCAATGGTTTGTTTTGTTTTTGAGTGTGTCCTCCAAGGTTTCACATGTTCGTAGAACACAGGTAGCTTGGCCCATGAGTCCTTTTGCTTATCTGCAATGTCTATTATCTCTTAAGGTAAACGACTTTCGTAAGTTCACCTGTGTTTTGAATTTTTTTTGAGACGGTACCATGAGATGGGACACAGGAACAGCTCAAGGGAAAAAGAAAATATTATACTAACAAGTCCTAAAGACAGGAGGCAGAGCATGCCACACAGGGCCACATGGGAAAGACACTAGGGTAGTTAGGGGGCAGAAGATAGGTTAAAGGGAGCCCTTTGGCCATGGGCTTTATTAGAATTTCCACAGGAAATTTAAGCAGGGCAGGAGTGGACCCAGTTTAGGACTGACTAGTTTTGATAATTTCTTCCAGCACTAAGCTATAAGGTTGGCCCCCAGGAACCTGGCACCTAGCTTTGCACCTGGCTCTGGGATGGTTAAAGCTGAGGAATATTGCTTCTTGTGGTTATGCATTGATTAGTTTGTCTGTCAAAGACATGCTCCTGACAGGGCCCGTTGCTATGTCTAAGAATTGACTAGCTGTAGGAGGGACAGTGCACTCCCTCCCAGAAAGGTTTTTCAAGATGTCAAAACATTATAATCTATAGAAAATTTAGAAATGTTTAGAATAAAACCCAGTGTTCAAGAGGCAGAACAGAGATTTAACCTCAGAACCTGAACAGAAATGAGTGAAATTTACCTCTATATCATATAGGGAAAGGTGGGGCTGGCTACCTGTTCATGCCTTAGTGAAACAGAATTTAAAATGAGGGCATAAAATTGGTAGAAAATGGGCCAGAATTCAGCAAAATTAAGAGCCCACCATAAGCCTTTCTTGCCTTCATCAAAATATAGTTTCAGAACCTGGGAAGATTTTCTATTATGTAGAAAGGTTGCATTTTAGAGACCTGTGCTCCAAAATGCAATTCACATATTAAATATCCACATTTTAACTAAGATATATTATAAGCACATATGTAAATATTGCAATGTATCCCCCTGTACAACTATTATATGCTAACAAGAAATGATATTGACAAGCCAAATATATCCTGATGACCAAGGCAAGTAGGGGACTGGAAACTATGGTAGGCTATTTTCTTGACACAGACATGGCTTCAGGGATCCTGAAACACACAGGAAGCAGAGAACTTTGAGTGTATACATGACTTGGAGAACAATACTGGTTCTTTAGCATCCTATATGGGAATCATATAATGTGGATCCTGTCTGAGAGATGATTTCATGATGACTGATTTGACCAAATATTTTGCTATCATCTTTAGTCCCTTCCTAATTCTAGCTCTGATCATTACTATGACAACCCATACAATCAAAGGGACAATGACAGAAGCAGTTATACAGAGTACTTGGTATTTTATCTTGTTTGGGGGTGTTGTTTAAGGCTTTGTTATTCTGTCATGCCCCTCCCTATCAAATAGGCCATGCCCAAATAAAGTCCTAATCACCTAGATTTTAACTAATGAGGAAAGATAGTTTTCATTCTTTCCATTTGTCTACCTCCTCTCTCAAAGATGGCCAAACTAGCCCAACAAAAGATATCACCAAACCTTGAAGTAGAATTTTTGATTTTTTGCTGGACACAAAGAAAACAACAGTAAAGTCATTATTTCACTGCAAAGCCATTTGGCCTGGTGGAGAAAATGTCAGATCCCTAGTGAAGAATCAGGAAGGAGGCAGACTTAAATGCTTTCTGTCTGGCTTAGTGGACTCCAGTTCTGTGTGATTAGCATTAGCCCTCTGTAGCCTGGAGCTTCTGCACACTTAGCTCGTTAACATGCCTTATAAGCCCTGGAAAAAATGGTCAGGATTGAGTGTGTTTAAATATGAAACTCTGAAGAGTTGTCTTCTAGAAGCAGCTGGATTGACCTGTGTGATCCCAAAGAGAAGAACCAGGACTCCTAGAGAGAAGTTTCTAGGAGGCTTTTATCAGTAAGAAGGCTTTATCAGGCAGGGCTGTCTTTTGTGGGGGTGAGTTCACCATCTCTGGGGACTCTCAGGCCAAAGCCATGTGATGGGATATTGCTGAAGGAGTCAGATAGGAATGAGGTGTCCAGCAAAGTCATTTTAAGTTGATTTCTGAACCCAATTTTAAGGTTCTGATTCTCCCTTAAAGTAGTGCCTATTGATATTCTTTGTTTGAAAAATCTCTTTGGGAGATTAAGGGTAAGAACAGTCTACTGAACCTTTGTCCTTACCCAGCAGGAGACTGACTGCACCATGCAGGGCAGGAATCTGAGTGAAGTATTTTGTTCTCCATATCAAAGAAATAGAAAACTGGGTCTTTGTCATTTGGAATTACAAATCTTAGTTGTTTATCTTGTCTAAGGTATTTTTGCTCAAGCTTGACTGCACTTTTCTTTAAAAGCTGAGAAAAGAAACATTTGCAGAATGTGACAATAGCTAGAATTTTAAAATCTAAAAGCTGTCAAAAATGTTTTGATCCCAATTAAAGAGACCCTTTGCAGCAATTTACACCCTGTCTTGAATTTCAAAGAACTCCTGATCCCAATCCTTATATGAGTAAAATTTGATTTATTATTAGCATGTTGCAGGGAATGAATCAATATTGAAAGCTGTTTGTATTTTCAGATACCTAGAAATTGCTACTGTATGAAAGGGAGCAGTGAGAATGCAGAATATATCACACATAACTATTACTGTTGTACCAGGAACTGTAATACATATAGGAGCAGAAATACATTAATGTGCTCTTAGGCCTTCAGAACAGACCAGTGGACACCAGGCAGCATAGATGTCATTTTCATTTCATAGATGAGGACAGTAAGGTTTGGAAGTGTCCCTGACCAGGATGTAGATTCAGGACAGACCTTCTAAGCTCCACAATCATATCTTTCCAGTGAACCTCACTGACTCACTTTTCTCTCCACTTATAATTTGATTCTGTGGAAATATTCCAGTTTAATGTCCCTCCCCCCCCCA